GAAAAAAATGACAAAATTTTTTAAAGGAATTCAGAAAAGGGGAGATTGATGTATGCTATAGTAGCCTTACTAGGTTTCATGTGAAAGGCAGGATTTGAGCTGGGCTGTCAAGTTGAAGAAAGGCTTTAGAAAGAGGAGGAACAGCATAATCAAAGGCACAGGGAGGGCAGTTGGTGGAGATGGTGTTAAGTAGGGTGGAGGAGTGAGTCAGAGTGGAAATTGTAAAGTGCTTCCAGAGCTGGCCTGACAGCTTTGGACTTTGATCCTAATGAGGAATGTATACCTACACTGGGGCATTTAAGGATCATGACCTCTTTTGAGCAATCCTGGACCGCTCTTCTACTGCCAATTTCTCATACTTTGTTGTGCTACTTGGAGTCAGATTACTTGGAATCACAAAGAATAATTCTGGCCTCCCCAGGTCACTACCTCAGAATGTGCCTAGGGCAAAGAGTAAGTCAGGTTAAGTTGGGAAGAGGGAACTAGAGATATTTTAGACCTCGTTACTCTGCTGGGGAAGGCAGTGCTAGGAGATAGAACAAGTTGGGAGCAGTTGGGTAGGAGCTTATTTGGGGTACAGCAGCTATCTGATAGCTTTCCTGTTTTAACTGTTCCTGCTAACTAGGTGCTAGGGTTGTTTTTATCTTCTGAAGTATTCTAAGCAGGTAAGCTCCATTAAAATTTCAGTGTTTGTTGTTGAGTTATTTCAGTTGTGTCAGACTTTTCATTACCCCATTTCGGAGTTTCTTGGCAAAGACACTGGAGTGGTTTGCCATTTCCTTCTCTAGTTTATTTTACCGATGAGGAAACGGAGGCAAATAGGGTCAAGTGACTTACCCAGTCACATAGCTCGTAAGAGTCTGAGGCTACATTTGAATTCAAGTCCTCCCAATTCCAGGGCTGGCACTCTATCCACTGTACCACCTAAATTTTGTTAATCTAAGGGAGATATATTTTAGGTTCAAGGTGAGCTCTTGATTGCTATCTTTTGATGGGAAGGAGCGTCTCAAGCCTGACTCCAATATTTATCACCAAGGTTACCTTCCTACTAAATGCTAGCTCCACAATGAATATACATAGAAATAAGCCCATTTCTCCAAGTCAACAGCAAAATAGAAATCAGAATTAGAAGAAGGAATGTGCTCCCATTGAGAGCAAGACTACTCAGCTCAATTAAGAGAGTCTCAAATCTCACTTAAGGAAAAATTCTCCAAAGTGTACTGTAGCAATCTGGGGATATGAACATGATCAAGAGTGCTGGCTTCTCTACATGTTGACTTTATCCCAGAATCTTTCTCTTTCTTCAGAGACCAAAATCAAGTCTAGCACTCCATGTTTTCTCTCTTGAAGCTGGAAGCCAGAAGACAAGATCTACCTTCTCTCCCAAATTCTTGCCAACTCTGCCCTCACAAAACATGGAACACTAAATAATCTCCGACGATGAAGAGTTATGCAAATAGGCTTGGAGGTTGGATTTATATTCAAAATAAATTTTTGTTGACAGACTTACTACCAGAATTTCTTCCAGCATTCCTTCTCTTTCCTCCCAGAGAGCAATCTCATATTACAAATAATATTTTTAAAGAGAAAAGGGGAAGATGAGAAAAAAATCAGCAAAAGCCAACCAACACCATAAAAAAGTTTGAAAAAAAAATGCACCGTATCTATGGACCCTTAATCTCTGCAAAGAAGTGAGATGGGAAGGGAGGGTCTTTATATAGTTCTTCTTTGAGGACATTCTAGTCCTCTGTATGCTGGACATTCATTTTCAATTGTTATGTAGTTGCTATTCAATTTAAATCAACAATTTACTTTGTTGTCACAGGGACACCTAGGTGGCAAAAAAGGATAGAGTACTGGGCCTGGAGTTAGGAAGACTCCATCTTCCTGAGTTCAAATCTAGCCTCAAGACAAGTTATTTAGCTCTGTTTGCCTCAAGTTTCCTCATCTGTAAAATATGCTGGAGAAGGGCATGGAAAACCACCCCAATATCTTTGCAAAGAAAACCCTAAATGTGGTCATAAAAAGTTGAACACAACTAAAAAATGACTGAACTGAATTTGATCACTTTAGGGAAGCCATCGACCCTCTCAGTCTGAGTTCATTTCCCCATTACAGAGCTTTGTCTGGCAACACCTTTGTAAAGCGCTATTGTAATGTGAGTTATTATAACACCAAAGAATATTGCTCACATTTCGAATTTTGTGTTTTACATAGCTGAAGTGATTTTCGATGCTTAATAATTCCTAAAATTGGTTTTAATTCTGTATACAGGTTTTAGTTATTAAAAAGTTTAATTGGAAATTCTAGAATCCATACTGCCCTTCAGAATGTGGTTCTTTTTTAATGATATTCATAAGTAGAGAGTTGGACTGAAAATCTTATAGTTCCATTAACCAATATGAATGCACTGCAAAAAAAGGTGAGTCCAAGATCACAGACTGCAAATAAAATCTTGATTCATCTTAGAGGACTTCAGATGCCAGATGAAATTTATAAAAACTTTACGGAAAAACTGGTTTGTCATTTTAAAAAAATTACATTTTAAGTAGCATAGCAGTGGAGGAAAAGAATTAAATTTTAAATCAAGACCCTTGGGTTGAATCCCAGTTCTGCCAATTATTACTTACATGATGATGGGCAAGTTATTTTTACCTCTCTGGGCTCAAATTACTTACCTGTCAAAAATAAGGTTGGATTGCACAGCTCCTTCCAGCTTTAAATATGTATTTAATTTTTTTGTGTGTGTCCAGACCTGCGATTTCATTAGTGTAGGGAACTTTTATGGGGCAGTTAGCTGGTACAGTAGACAGAACACCAGGCCTGAAGTCAGGAAGAATTTCACGAGTTCAAATTTGGACTCAGACACTGACTAGCTGTTTGATCCTGGGCAACGTCACTTAACCCTATTTGCCTCACTTTCACATTTATAAAAGGAGCTGGAGAAGAAAATGGCAAACTACACCAGTATCTTTGCCAAGAAAATCCCCAATGGGCTCGTGAAGAGTCCAACAAGACTGAACGGACAGAACAACCCCAGAGAACTTCTGGTGAGGAAACCCTGACAACAAGTGCAGATCTGCAACTTAAAGGGGATTTGAGTGTTGCCTGGGGCAGTGAGGTCAAATGAATTATTTGGGGGTGAGAGAAGGGGAAGGTGTCACACAGCCCTTAAGCTTTGGGACACAGGGCTTCAGTCCTCCAATAAATAAACATTTATGAAGCTCCTACTTTGAGCCAGGCACTGTGCTAACTGCTGGACTTGAACCTAGGTTTTCCAGATTCAAAGACTAGCTCTCTATCCCCTATGCTACACTGTCTTTCCCAAATCTACAATCAGGTGGTTTATCCTTTTATTTCTGTTTCGAACCTTTGACAACTGTTTTATTATAGAAAAGTCTACATAGCCTATTTATGAGAAACATCTCTATTGACCACTCTCATCTCTTCTACCCTGGTTTCTTCTCCTACCTCTCCCACCACTCCCTCTTATACATATGTATATGGATGTTTTATTATCTTTTTCTCTTAAACCCTCCCCTCCACCCACCCCTACTCCCTTCCTTATTACTATGGAGCACAACCCCTTCCCAAGCTCCAAACCTGGGAGTCATCCTCAGCTCCTTACTCTTATCCACTCAAATCCAATCTGCTGCCAAGGGCCATTGATTTCACCTTTGCAGCATCTCTCCACTGGGCCCCTTTCTCTCCTCTGACACTGCCACCACTGTGGTGCAGGCCCTCATCTCCTCAAGCCTAGGCTACTGCAATAGCCTGCCTGCCTGATTTTCCCAAAGGTAGGTGTGACCTTGTCACCTCTCCTCTCTTTCAATAAAATTCTTAAGCTCCCTATTGCCACCAGGGTCAAATACAAAAGCCTTTGGCATTCAAAGTTCTTCATAATCTACCACCCTCCTACCTTTCTAGCCTTCTTACACCTTACCTTCCCCCTTTACTCCCTACATACTCTTTGATCTAGTGACACTGGCCTCCTGGCTGTTTCATCTCTCTGCTACAGTCTTTCTCTCTGGCTGTCATTCTTGCCTGGAACGCTCTCCCTCCTCATCTCTGACTACTTGGCTTCTTGTAAGTCCCAACTAAAATCCCACATTCCACAGGAAGCTTTTCCCAACTCCTAATTCTAATACTTTCCCTTTCTTTCTCTCCCATTTTTCCTGTCAGTAATTTATTTGTACATATTTGCTTGCTGTCTCTCCCTTTAGACTGTGAGCTCCTTGAGGGCAGGGACTGTCTTTTGCCTTTTTGTATCCTCAGAGTTTAGCAAAGTTGCTTGGCACACACTAGGTACTTAATAAATGTTGACTAAATGATAATTGATGCTTTATAGGGAGGCTCAGGGAGGACTTATCCAAGGTCACACAAATAAGCATCAGAAGTAGGATATGAACCCAGGCCTTCAAACTTCTTTCCACTGTACTACACTACCTCCAAGTGAACCATTAATCTGCAAATAGCAACAACTGTTTCCTCTTTACTGCCTTTAACTTGTACCTTTAATTTCTTGTCTTACTATTTAAGATCACACTCCTGGTATAACACCAACTAACAGTGGATAAACAAGATACCCTTGCTTTACCCTTGTATTTAATGTGAAAACTTCCAGGGGTAATACATACACATATGTATGTATGTATGCATGCATATATGTATTAGTGTAAAAAGGAGAAAGAAGGGAATGGAATTTGCAATTTCTCATAATTATGTGGAAAGAACATATAGATGAAGAAGGGGTAGAAAGAGTGAGCATCAGATGAACCTCACTGACAAAGAAAGATTGAATATACAAACAGAAATATAACAAACTCAAAGAAAGGGAAGGGTGAGGGTTAAGGATAGTCAGAAGTAAAACTTCTTGATTATGAATGAGCAACAGAAAAATGATGAGGAAGAAGAGGGGAATGATTGCAAGACCCAGGGAGAAAAGAAAGAATTAAAATCTTAAGGGAGTAGTTTAGATTCCTTCTTAGATAACTGGGAAATAACTGAACAAACTCTGGTTTATTAATGTAATGTACATTACAAAGATACATAAAAGTATAATGGAATGGAATATGATTATATCACAGGAACTAACAAAAAAGAGACTATTTCAGAGATTGCTGCATAGTTAGAACTGCTGTGACCAAAACTAGAACAATTTGCACAAGGCCAACAACATTGTAAAGAAAAACCACTCCGAAAAGACTAATCAATGCAATGACAATCATATCTCCAAAACATCTATGATGAAGTACGTTGGAGACTACACACTTTTGGATATGGTCACTGTGTGAATGTTTTGCTTGACTACGCTTATTTATTGTAAGGGTTTCTTTTTTTCTTTCTCTTGGTTTTAAACTTGGGAGGAGGTCTTGTGTTGGGGATGGGGAGCTAGCAGTGTCAGAAAAGGTGACCACTGTAACACGTTTGAAAATACTGTGGTTAGAAGGAAGCACAGGCAAGGGCCATTTTGAAAGTAATGTTTGGGATTTATTATACACTTTTTAAAAAAAGTGAAGTGCTACAAAATAGAGATTTGTAGATTCACACAGAAGAACAACAACAAAAAACGATAAGCATCCAGTGTTTCTCCATTTAGCTCTTCGATTGAGATAAATATTTTCCATCATATTGAAGGAACTTTTTATGCCATGTTTTTTAGGGTTTTTTTTTTACCTAAATAAGTGAGATATTTTAACGGGTATTTTTTCAACTTTATCATTTTACATTTGAAGAGGCTGAGGCCCAGAGAGTGGCTTGCCTCGGTTTCCCAGAGAGTGAGCAGCTGAACTGGGATCCAAAGCCATGCCCTTCCAACTCCCAGTCCAGTGCTTTTCCCTATTTACTACACATTTTCTTTTATTTAAGATTTTATTTTCCCCAAAACTCATTTTCATTTTACAATATGACAGCCCTTGGATAATTAGAAGTATCTGGAGGTGTTCCTAAATCAAAGTTGGGCACAATTGTTTAAGAGCCTAGCATCAAATTATGATACATGGATGACACGACATGATTATTTTCTCATTCCATATATGTATTTTTAACCTGCATGTGGTGAGAAATGTTAACAGACATAAAGCCACCATATTTAGATATCTAGTCCAATCTTGCACCTACGTGCAAAGAAGGTCCCTCTAAAGTTTCCTGACATTCTTTTTTTTGGTATGTGTTAACCAGTGGGGTGAACCTGATGCTCTCATGAGGCCATCCATCCATCATGCTCCATTCTACTGAGCTGCTCCAATTATTAGGAAGCTGCTTTTCCTAACTTCTGTTACTGCTGGGTCATGGCAGCCAGGAACAGGTCTGAGTGAAGTGGGGAGGGGCAAAAGGATTACAGGTCCTCACCCAAAGGCAACAGAGATTGGGATTAGTGAAGGACTAGCTTTTGAGATCAAACAGCTCTTGAAAGGGCTCTTGAGCAAACGGTGGTTTCTTTACATTTTTATGAGGTAGAGATGAAGGACCACTCCCTAGTGGTGCTGAATTTCTGATCACACTGCCATGGTTGTTTCAAGTACTTGGGCTGAGAACGGCATGAAAGCTACTCTAGGTGTGTTTGCTTTCTGGGTGTGAGTCACTGGTACAGAAACAGTGCAAGCTTGGGTATAAGGTGAAGCTCTTTTCTCTTTTAATATCAGGGATAATGTGGCTGAGATGCCAAGTCAATCCTAAGCAGACTGCATGGAGCAATGGATGAGGAGGCAGGAGCTCAAATCCTGCCACAAATTCAATCATTTATCAGCCACGTGCACTTCAGCAAATTACTTAACTTCTTAAGGTGTCAGGTTCTTTAAACTACATGTGGTGAGAACAGGAAAATCTGTATGGCTGCTTCCAGATCTAAAATTCTATGGTTCTCTGGGATCAAGCTCTAAAGTGCATTTGTTCTGTGACTATCATTGTCTTTGCCTCAGTTTTTCCATCTTACCAATTTTATACTACATACTTCAATAAGAAGAGGCACAGAAAAAATTATCTTAGCACAGCACCCTGAATGCAATGGGAGGAAACAGCAATTGACATAGAGAAAAATGCCAGTCTCACTACTAATTCTGGAGCATTAGTTATCTCTTTGGAAATACTGTAGTATGTTGCATTTGCTAATTCTCACACCCACTTAATTAACCCTTCCAAACACTGAAATAGTCTGAAACGACAAGATAAGGCAAAAGCAAATGGTAAGTTATTTAAAAAATATATTTTAAGAAAGAAAAAGTACCTTTTAATGTAGCATCATTTAATTTTTAAATAAATTATACTTACAAGTTACAAGTTCTTTTCTGTAACAAAAGTTGTGCTACTAGGCTGATTACTTTTGGATCTACCAAACAATCTAGCAAGTCATCCGTAGAGATGAATGGTTGAGAATGGCATGTGGTGCTGTCAGAAACAATGTTACCTGCAAGTGGTATCTCAGCTTTATTCATCACTGGTTGCTCTTGTGCACAATTTAATTTCTCCACATGTCCCCCACTCTCACTGACAAGGCCTTTAACATCGCTCTCAGCTGTTCCTTTTTCTGACGATTCATTCTGAAGACTGGGTAATACTGGAATCAGATCCAGGCCAAAGGGAATGTTCTCCTCAAGCTTTGCTGTATCGGTAGCTAATTTATGACAAGGTGATTTTTTCTCCTTTGTTCTGGTGTGTACATCCAACTTTCTCTTTTTCAAGGGTGCCTCCACTCTGTGCTCACCATTTATTTTAAACTCTGTGGATGTTAATGCTTCTGCTACTTTATTGTGTTCCAAATAGGCAGAAATGGCTCCATTTAAGTACTGACTATTGATTTCATGAGATGTTCCCTCCACCTAAGGAAAAGGAAAGAAAATTTTTTTAAGATGTAGGTTTGTCTTCGATTTTCCCACAAAATAAAATGCTTCATCTGAAGCTATCTTCCCAATAAGTTATCAACTGACATAATAAAAATAAGAGGTTCCCTACCTCTGTAGGGTTTAGCCAGGCTTTGGTATTAGTGGGATCTTCTGCAGCTTTCAAGGCACACACTAGCATTCGGGTGATGGCCTCTTCTACCCGAGCCTGATGGTCCTCCTCCTATGGACAAGGGGTAAAAAAAGACAAGATGTTTTAGAGATGGTGTTGTGAACCATGACTAATACTGAGGAAAATGTGTCTAACTTCCTTGAAGTTTTACTGGTTTCTTGTCAATGACACATGGTATTTTAAAAACACACTGGCCAATCCATGAGAAATGGACACACACTTCCTATGTATTTCGGTAGTATATTTCTTGCAGAAGCATCTGTATACAAACTAACCTAAAACATCTTAGTTTAATCCAACTCATTTCAGATGTTTTCAACCTTTTTCATTTTGATATTCCGGAATTTTAGAAGCTTCTAAGACATGCCAAGCATGGGGGTATATAACAACACACAACAACAAAGTACCACAACAAAATCTGGTACTGTATGTATTTATGTATTTAGGAGGAACAAAGGAAATGAATGGTAGTCTTTTATAAACTTTTGATTACAATATTGAAGACAGTCTGGGATGAGAAGGAGAGGGAAGAAAGAGTCAGTGTCCCCACTTCATCTAAAGAGGCAGCTAGGTATCTCAGTGGATAGGACCACAGACCTAGAGTCAAGACCTGAGCTCAAAATGGCCTCAGAAACTTATTAGCTATGTGACTCTGGGTAAGTCAACAGCAAACTCTGCTTCAGTTTCTTCGACTATAAAATGGATTATAATAACACCTACCTCCCATGGTTATTGTGAGAATCAAATTAGATAATATTCATAAAGCACTTTGCATATTGTAAAAGCACTAAATAAATAAATGTTAATTACTCATATTACTACTTTGATGTGTTAAAAGTCTCTCTCTTCCCCCTTGCCACCCTCCCCCTCCAAGAACATAACTAAATGCTGATTAATTATGATAAGTCTTGGTCCTAGTAAAGAGTTAAAGAGGTATCTCTTTTCTTTTGGCAGAGAGGTGGGGGACAACAAGTGAAAACGTTGTCTACACTATCAAAAAGTCACTATGAAGGTTGATATTGCTTTTGTTTTCTTTATTCCAAGGGAAGGCTCATTTGGTGGGTAGTGGGGTGTCTATCTTAACAAAAAGCACTGAAATAACACTTATTTTAAATGTAAAAAAAAATGCTAAAATATGCAGATACTACACATCTAAAACAGAGATGGGGAAAGATACTGCATAATCTTGTCATTTCAACTAAATGTAATTGAGAAAGAATCAAGAAAAGAAAAAGATATCAACAGACATTTGTTCCTATTTCACCTCTTTGAAACACCTAATACACTGCAGGCTTCCAGAAAGCTTTCTCAAGAAATCTTTCTTATCACTAGTCTTTTTGTGTTCCTTAGCAGCTGCTCCATTTTGCCAGTAGATGCACATGCAAAACTTGGGAGTCATTTTAAAGTATCTTTTGTACCTAGTTCCAGGTTCCAGATCTTTCTGGACAAATGTGAGGCTCTTTCACTTGAACGTCTGACTACATTTTGATCCTGGCACTGAGCTTGTACTCTTATCCAAATATTGCCTCCCACCCCATGACTGCAACTACTAACTCTTTTTACATAACCACTCTGATGTTTCTGGCCCCTCCCTGAGGTCTTTTCTCAATCCCTGGATTGAGAGGCTTCATCTGTACCAGGAAGACTTTCAGTTTCAGCTTGGCTAGAGACAGGTCCCACCCCTGGCTCCTCCCTGATAGGCACAATATAGCTTCTTGTTAATGTAATATAAAAGAAGGTAGAAGGTAGTTGGTGATGAGAACAGGAAGACAAAGGAAAGGGTCAATTTTATCTTCTTTTTAATAGTTAGGAGTATACAAACTCTAGACTTTAGGAATACATTTCAAAGTTTAGAGAACATACAGCAAAGGAGATTTTTAGAAACTGATTATTCAACTGAAATGAAAGTTACGAGGTTTTAGCTTAACATGAAAATGACTTTTTTCCCCCTAACAATTACATAGAACCTAGAGGCCAGGGAAGTTAGATCAATGTTGAGGTGAAATGATGTGAATAGTCCTCAGATAACTGGATACCACCTTATGTCCTTGCGATTTGTCTTTTTCTGTCTGCTAAGTAAATTATGCTTTCATTTTCCCAGAAAGGACATGGAGCCTAAAAGCCCAGGGAAATAAAGGGAGTTATCTAGAAAGAAGAAGAAAGGTGACATGAGGTTAGAATATCTCATTAGATAACTGGATTCTGTCAAGCTTGTACTTGTGTCCACATGTACCATGCCATCTGTCTTCTTTTCTCTGTGATATTAACTAAGCTTTATCCCCTTAATGGGGACAGAGAACCCGGCATGCAGGGAAGCAGAGGGAAATGGCTGAAGATCTGTGGCAAAATGAAGTATGTATATCTCACAAAATCTCCACCTCATGCTTTATTTGCCACACTTGTTAGTCTAAAATTTGACCAAAAGAGCTACAAAAAAGACAAAAATGGTTATTCAAGCAAGTAGAGAAGGAAAGGGGAATTCTGCAGCAACCTGCAGGGAATGTTCTGGGTTTGTGTTCTACCAAGTACTTTGTAACAGCTACCCAGATCTTCTGTCTTAAAATAGAAAAGTAAAGGGTTTGAAAGAATGCATCTCTAGTGTCCAGGTTATTGGAGGAATGAGATGTTCCTTGAAATTCAATCTGAAAAACATTGCTATATGTCCACTAGTGCCAAATACTGTGCTAGATGCTAGGGGATGAAAGACAAAATCAAACTATCTCTGTTCTTAAAACCCTCACAATTGGGAGGAGATAGATGACATGCACCCAGATAAGGAAATATAAAAATGTAGAAAGGGATTGGGGGGCACTTAGAAGTGTGGGGGGTGATAGCAAAATCCTTATGAAGCAGGTGGTCCTCGGGCTGTGCCTTGAAGGAAGCCAGGGATTCCAAGAGGTGGGAGCGAGGAAGGACAGAAGAGGATTCCACCATAGGGGCAGGCTGTGCATAAGCAGAGTTGACAGACAGAAGGCTGTGCCTGGGGAACAGCACGTAGGTCAATTTGCCATCACTGAGGGTGTGAGGAAGAGTAATGTGAAATCAATATGGAAAGATAGGTTGTAACCAGAGGAATCTGTATTTTATCCTCAAGGCATCAGAAAGCCAGGAGGGTTTTCTGAGCAGGAAAGCTGACTATAGGAATACCATCTTGGCAGTGGTATGACAGATGGATTACTGGAAGTAAGGAAAGTAAATGGAGTAGCAGCAGGGAGATCATTTAGGAGCTTACTGCAATAGTCCAGGAAAAAGGGGGCGACAAGGGTAGAGTCTAAGTGTGCAGAAAGCAGGACTGATCTGAGAGATTTGCAGAGGCTGAAGTAATGAGACCTTGCCAACTGATAAGATATGGGAAGTGAGGGAGAGTGAGAAATCAATGCTGATTCCAAGGTTAATATTCACAGCGTGGGGGATAGGGTGGAGGGTGAGAAGAGAAAAAATAAAGATAAGGATGTAATGGGGCAGAGGGAAATTCTCACTTGGCATGCAGAAGAAAATGATGTAGAGAAGGAGGGGAAGATGGACCAATTACCATTTAGAGTTACTTAATAAGTATCAAGCTCTTTCCACAGAGAGGAGTAGAGAACTATCTATATGTGTATTCCAAGAAATAATCATGTGGAAAAATGATATTTGTCTGAAAAGACTGATATGGATGCAAAGGGAATCCATGAAACAAAAAGGAGGTGGAAAACAAGAGTAATGGGATGAATAAAAGAGCATGGCACAGTGCCATAAAAATATAACCTGGAGTTCTAAAGCTCAGCTTAGCTGTTGAATGAAAGCAGGTGAATTAAGAAGAGGTAGATTTGGAGAATAGACAGTTGGCTGTTCAGACAGTGGTTGAGAATGAAATTCAAAGTCCTGAACCATAGTTGTAAACATAGGAATTATGGGGGCTGGGGATGGAGTATAGCTAACAAGGGCTAATGAAAGTATATTTGCCTAGGATATTGTTAAATCTAATTAGAGAGGGCTTAAAAATGGAGCAAAAGAGAAGGCTGCACACATAGATCTGAGAAAACTGATGTCATAAAGATTAGCAGGTACAACACAGGAAAAAAAGAGCACCAGAGGATTCACGGATGACAACATCCAAGAAGAAAACCAACTACAAAACCCAAGGACTCACGTCTACATAAAAATGTACAAGGCAAAATAGTATAAAGAGGAAAACCTCTTGTAAAAATCTCTTGTGTAAAGCATAGAGAGACTCTAGTGTAAGAGGAAAATTTGGCTTCAAAGACTCATGACAGAAATAATTGTCTAGAAGGGGATATTCTTGATACAAAAGGAATAGAACAGATAAAAAGGGAAGTGGGCAGAGCATTCTTGTATATTAAGAAGATATAGTCGTTTTAGGAAGTCTAGGAATATGATAAGGAAACACAGTAGAGAGAATTGGGAAGATTCAATGGACGGTGACAGAGAATACTATGGGGTCATATTACCTTCAACCTGAATAGAAGATGGAATTAAGTAAGGAATTTGGGAAACAGTTTATAAACCTGGTACAGAAGCATGATATTGTATTAACAGTGGAAATTTAATGATACAAACATCTGCTGACACCCCCTTTGCTTGAAACAGAACAGCTAATAAATTTGTGAGCTTCTCTAATGATGTTTTTTTCCTCTGAAAAACTGCGGAAACAATAGGAAGAACTGCATTTCTGGATCCAATTCTGACCAACAAGAAACTGGCTGTAAAAGAGATCTCATTCCATCCTGTCTTCCTACAGCTGACTGCTTCTCTGTCATTTATCTTCAATCTACTGACTGCTTCCCTACTGCCTACAAGCACGCTCACGTCTCTCTCTCCCACCCTCACTTGATCCTTCCATCCCTACTATTGCCCTATATTTCTTTGACCTTTTGTGGATAAACCTAAGAAGGCCATCTACAACTGGTGCTTCCACCTCCTCGTCCCTCTCCACAGCCTAGCTTCTGACTGCATCATTCTCCTGAAACTGTTGTCTTTGAAGTTACCAATGATATCTCAATTGCCAAATCCAATGGCCTTTCCTCAATACTCATCCTTCTTGACTTCTCTGAAGCCTCCAATACTGTCAATCAACTTCTTCTCCATGATATTCTCTTCTCTAGGTTTTTGAAACACTCTTTCCTCCTGGTTCTCCTACCTATCATGTGACCGCTGCTTTTCAGGCTCTTTTCCTGGATCTTCATCTAGGACATTCCCACTAACTGTGGGCGTCCCACAGGGCTTTCCTGGGTCCTCTTCTTTTCTCCCTCTATATTATTTCTCTGGGTAATCTCATCAGCTCCCAAAGATTCAATTATCATCTCTATGCTAATGATTTTCAAATCTACTTATCAGCCTTAGTCTCTCTGTTGACCTCCAGTCTCATATCTTCATCTGCCTACCAGACTTCTTGGACTGGATGTGCAGTAGACAATTTAAACTAAATATGACAAAATCTGAACTTATTATTCCACCTTCCTCACACTTCCAATGCACCCCTCCCAACCTCCACCAAAACTCACCTCCCTTCCAAACTTCCCTACTGTTTAAGGTATCACTATCCTCCTAGTCCTTAGGCTTGCAACCTAGGAGCCATTCTGGACTCCTTACTACCTCTCGCCCCTCCCCCCCCCATATCCAATCTGTTGCTAAGGCCTGATTTCACCTTTGCACCATCTCTTGGATATGCCCCCATCTCTCCTCTAACAGTGCCACCACTTGGGTGCAGGCCCTCCTCACCTCACATCTGGATTACTGTAATAGCCTATTAGTGGGTCTGCCTTCCTCAAGTCTTTCCCCACTCAATTCAGTTGTCAAAATGATTTCTTAAAGTGCAAGTCTGTCATCTCACTCAGTGGCTCCTATCACCTGAGCTGTTCAAAATTTTTACTTGGCTGAGAATACAGATGGAATATGTTAAATTTGCAAACAACAGGAAATTAGGGGGGAAAAAAACTTTCGATGATAGAACTAGGATCCAAAAGGATCTTGAAAGCCTAGTGTTGGGCACAATATGTTAATATTATATTTAACAGAGATAGATGTAAAGTTCTTTACTTGGGTTCCAAAAATTAACTTCATAAGTACAGGCTGGTCCATACTCTAGGCAAACCAATTCTGATGAAAAAGATAATGTTTTAGAGGACTACAAGCTTAACATGAGTTAGCAATTTGACAGAACAGCCAAAAAAATTCATATTATCTTAACGCTGCAAGAAAAGAAAATCAGTGTATAAAAGCAAGGACAGACCACATCTGAAGTAGATTTCAGAGAAAATTAGACAAACTTAAGTAAGTCAACTTGTCACAAGAAGACTGGATGTTTAGCCTGAAGAAGTAAAGGAGGGCCATAACAGTCTGCAAGTTTTTTAAAGGCTATCATATAGAAGAGGGATGAGACTTGTTCTGCCTCAGCTTAAAGGGCAGAACTAGGAGTGATGGGTACAAGTTGTGAAAAGGCAGACTAAGGCTTCAAGCAAGGAAAATTTTCTCTCTCTCTCATACTCATACACTCATACACACACACACACAATTAGAGCTGTTTAAAAGTGAAAGGGCTGCCTTGGAGGTTATGGGTCTTCCTTCTCGGAGATGTTCAAACAGAAGTGGATGACCACTTGACCACTTGTTGGGGATGTCAGCATAAGGATACCTGACCAGGTACTGGTGAGACTCAGATTCTATTGCAGCTACCCCCAAATGGAATGGGGCCTGACTTCTTAAATCTATCAGCTATGGTGTGGATGTGATTTTTGTACTGAGTTGGGAGACTAGAATCCCTTCTGGAACTCCCTTCTGAGCCATCATTCTGTGCCTTCAACTAGCCTCTATTCTGCAAGAACAAATTTCTCTAAAGTAGTCTTATTTTCCTAGAACAGTGTTCCTTATCCTTCTAGGGAAACCTAGTTCTCCTTATTAAAAACTATTGCAGTTCCATCAACTTCATGAGGCCTCCCTACCTGACCTAAATCAAGTTGGTCCACAGCATATGCCCCAATATCTCTTTCTTCCTATGACTGGTACTGTACACCATACTCACACATATGGATTTGCATAAATTCAAAGAAAATGATTTGCAAGATGACTTGACAGGGTAGATCTTCAAAAGAATATGCTGCTGGCTCTAAAGGCAATTCTAAGAGGACCCCAAGAATGTTTTGAGTAATGGCAGCATTAATTAAGTGTGTAACTTTCCAGGTGATTATTTTGAAAGGATCAATCAATCCTCATTCATCTATATAAGTTGTCTGTTAAAACATCAGTAACATTCGCTTTATTTTTACATATTCTACACTGATCCTAAAGAAATTATTTTCATTCACAAAAGTAAAAAGAATACCAGTTCAATCCATGAGTTTATACTGACAGTGATGGGGTCGATGGATTCTACATAATGCCACCAGTGTCTGGGAACAAACAAGACCTGAAAGTAAGAAAAACAGTTGTTAGTATATTAGTAAGACATTTCATTTTTAATATTTAGGAGCAGGGACTTAGGTTGCTAAAAAAAAAATCAGAGGATAAATGAATAGGTACTAAAGCTGGAAAAATCAGGAAATGCTTCATAGACGAGTGATTAAAAGACAACTACATTTCTTAAAGAATGGATAGGATTCAGATAACTGGAGATGGGGAATTGATAAGTTCTATTTTAGACAAGTTGAGATTTAAATGATGGCAGAAAGGACTTTGAAGGGATAGAGTACAACATGGAGAACAGAGGGTTAAGTCAAGGTAGGGCCTTGCCAAAGGCTGTCAGAGTGTGGGAGGAAAAATAAACTAAAGGGAAAAGGGGCAGAAGAATTTGAGTGTGTGGTGTCATGAAGACTGAGGATCAAGGTTAGAGGGGAGAGGAGAGGGTTTGCAGTAAAATATTCTGTCAAGTAGGCAAAGAAAACTAAGACTTAAAAAAGGCCCTGGACCTGGTGATGAGCTCAGTGATGACCTTTATGTGTTACTTCAGGAGAAAGGTGGGAAGTTAAGACTACAGGAGTCAGTGGGCAGTGAGCAAATGGAAGGAACAGATAAAGACTATTAATGTGAATTTGGCAATAAAAGAAAGAAAAATGGGAGAGCAGCTAGAGGGAGGCAACAACGTCAAATAAAGACTTTTTCAAGAGAGGGGAAACTTGTCCAGTCACCTCTCCCTGTCTCCAACCCTATTCATCCTTTTCTAGGAGGCAGAGGAGAAGGGAAGATTTAAAATACTAAAGAAAGATGTGGAAGCTCCCAGACAGGGGAGACAGAAATTAAGAACACAGGTGACAGGGTTATCACTGGAAAGGAAAGATACCTGCTTCCTTGGGGTTGGGAAGGATAAGAGAGAGTTTAAATAGTGGGTTATTTTAAGAGAGAAGACTACCTATTCATAAGCTCTTAAAATTAAACAATTTACTTTTTTTATCCAGATTTAATTATGAAACATTGCTTTGCAGTAATATGAAAGAGAACTTCTTTGAGTTTAAAGAGTAGAAGATTTTTATCTTCCATCCAGTTTATCAGCTCCTGAAAGGAATATTCTCTTGCTATTTGGATAACTAAGGTTAGCAGGGGCAGTTTACTGGGCTGGGGATCCAAGGATATAGGCTAAGGATCAGATCAGACAATATGAATAAATATAAAAACATCCTACATGACTGACAGTCATATCTCAGGGCATGAACAAAATCCTATGGCTGTGTACTAGGGATATGGAGAGAGGTATGTTCAACATAGAAACCTTGGCTTAGAAAATCTTTTTGCTGGTTGTTAATGGATCCAGTAGTCCAACAGATCAACTTTCAATGCAAGTAAGGTATTTTTCATTTTTATTTTTTTCTGACAGAGTGTGAGAGTGTGAATAGATCAATCTATGATACATTCCCCCCTTACTCTTCTTTTGCATCTAAAGTAATGTTCACATTTGACAACACACACGTATGTACCCAGAGACCCAGGAATGTCAAATAGTAGTTGAATATCATAAACTCTGGAGAACTATTTTCAAAAATTTGTGATCTCTTCAGAAGGTTTTCCTTCAGTTGCATATTTGAAATGAAATATTTTGTACTTTTATTATAAATCTGGTAGACACCTCAACAGTAAAGCTTATTCTTATCTAAAGGAAAAGCTCTTCCTTCTTTATCTAAAAAGACTTAAAGTCAGTTTCTGCTTCACAGGCCTACTTATCAAGTATATACTTTATAATCTACTGGTTCTTGGCCACTTCAATTATCACCAGTGTCTGGGAACAAATAAGTACTGAAAAATAACATTTGTAACAATTATATTTCTTTAGGGGTTTTCAGGACAGCTTTTCAAGAAAAAAAGGCAACTAATAGGAGACCACAAAAACTTTCATAACCAGTAATCAAATACCAGAAGGCAAATAACAATGTATTTTTAAAAATCTATAGTTAGAGAACTGAACTATATATAATTTAAATATAATTAATATGCTATGATATAAGATATAATATAATATAATATAATGTAATGTAACATAATATAATTTATTTGAAGTTAATTCAGATACCCATTTCACTTTTGGCAATTGTTCACAACCAGGTTCATTTTAATAACAAAATAACTATTAGCCTTTACATAGTGCTTTAAAGGTTTGCAAAGCACTTTATATATCATAGCACCTATAATATTTGAAAAATGCTTTGTAAACCTAAAAGCATTGTCTAAATACTAGCTATCAACATTGTTGTCTTCATCGTCTCATTTGATTCTTAAAACAACCCTTATTATCTACATTTTAGAGATGAAGAAATTGAAAGAGGCTAACATGGCTTCCCAAGAGTCACAAAGCCAGTAAATGCTCATGCAGGATTTGAACTCAGTCCATCACTATCCATGATGATCATCTAACTACCTCAGTCATTGAGATGCCCTAAAATTTTATCTGATCTGCCTCATGGGTCAGCACTCACTGGTCCAAACTCTCATTGCATTCTCTTCTGTCTAATCCTTACTCTATCTGAAGAAATTATGAGGACATTCCGAGAGGCTGAAGTGCGCCGAAGCGCCACAGCAAACTCTTGGAGGCTAATCTTTCCTCACTCCTCAGTAACAGGAACAAAACTCTCTTCCCTCAGCCCATTTCCAATACACTGCCAGAAGACACTTGTTTCTCTGAAGGAAAAAGAGCAGGCAGGGATAGTGAAAAGAAGGAAAGGCTTTCAGCTTAGAAGAGGTAAGGAAGTAGGGATGAGAAGGAATGTCTTCTCCTCTCTCCCTTTTAAATGAAAGAATTACCTGTCCTGGGTACAGTGTAACCATATGCCTTTGAGCTTTCAGAAACTGAGGAAAGTGTTTTAAATCAGGATTGACAACATTGACTTTGCTGAAAACACTGGATTCTTCATAGGGGATTCTGGTTGGATAAAGAAAAGCAGTATCTTCAGGAGGGAAGAGATGCCATCTTTTCCTAACCAAGGGGAAAAAAAGATTATGGTTAATACTCTATGTACTAGATAACAGACAACGTGACGTAACAGTAATTAATTAATTGAATTAATTAAAATTCAAGTAAAATAAATTCAGTTCAAAGAATCATAAACTTTTAGAGCTGAAAGGGACCTTAAAGGTAACCCAACTGCAGAAATTCTCTCTATACTACATCTAGCCTATATTGGATGCCTTTCCCAGCTGGTAGACTTTAATTTTTATACAGTTCTATCTTCTGCTGAGCTGAAATCTACATCCTTGTGACTTCCATCCACTGCACCCTGTTCTGCCCTATGGACTGAGTCCACTCTCTGTTCTACAACATGATAGCTTTTCAAATATTCAAAGATAATTAGCAGATACACCTTCTCTCTTCCAGGCTAAATGCAACCAGCACTTTCAACCATGCAAACTATGACATGGTTTCTAAAAGTTTAATTATGCTGGTCATGAATTTCCCAAGTTAAGAATCTTTTAAGTGAGTGTCATTTAAGCAATGAATATGTACACTGCCTTTAAAACAGAAATAGGGGCTAACTATTGAAGAAAAACAGTAAATTAGTATATTCACTTTTAATTTTTTAAATTAAACTATTCAAATATAAACAAACACTAGATTACGGTTAATTAAGTTAATTAAGAAGGAAATTAGAGTGAAGAGGACAGATGCAAGAAGGAAAAAGGAACTAAATTATAGTGAAAGAGAGAGACGAGGGAGAAGAATGATAAGGTGCTCATTTCACTCTGAAGTGGTATATTTCAGTGTTAAAAAGAAGAACGAAAAGGCTTATGAGACTCTGAGACAAGAATGTCAATGTTAAGCTATTGTTGCTATAACCAATTGGGATGTAGCTGTCAGAGCTGTAATAATAACTAATATATAAGTACTCTAAAGAGTGTGACACAGTGCACCTCACTTGAGGCTCAACAGCATAGAGCAGATAGCACTGGCACTACTATTTTCATTTTATAGATAAGGGAACTAAGCTTCAGAGATTAAATGACTTGTTCAAGGTCACACTTGTAACACAAGTACAAGCCCAACTCAGGTCGTCCTAACAAGTCCAGCACACTATTTAGCATTCTCATGCATAACCTGATCTTTCAAAAATTCTCTCAAAAAAATTAATGAATTTTTTTATACTACAGTCACAATCTACCTTCCCCACTCCCCACACCCAAAAGCAAATAGCTAAAATGAAATATCTACCTTTGCTTTGCTTTTCAAATTCCAAATTAAATTATCTGAAATGAAGGTGTATCTTCCCATAAAATTGTGAAGGACTCTGATAGATGAGTGAAGTTATGGCTTCACTTTTAGAAATACACTATTATAGTTTTCCATTATAAGACTTTGTATATTACAAGAGTACAATGAATTTTAGTAGCTTACTTCTGGATCTCTGAGTTTTCCCTCAATTTACATGATTATCAATATCATCCTGACATGCAAAATATACTACAATCTTATCTTTCTATTTAGAGATGAAGACAGATTTCACTAAACATGAAGCTAACTCTGAAAGCTCTAATCATTTCTCCATCTTTGCTCAAGAAACTAAGCCAACAGATTTGACTCTGCAAACACTTATTTCAAATTTCAAAGTGTATTATTTGTTCGCAATAGATTGGCAGCCTGATGTCAACAGATCGATAAACAGATGTCTTCTTCATGGTGGGCATTTTATAAATACTTGTTAAAGGAAAAAGAAAGAAAAGCTTAATAAGTATGACGGTACTGAGATATGTTTTTAACCCTTCAGATGTCATTAATTGCTTTCTCAATTAAAAAAAAGGACAGCAATGTTATTGGTAGGAAATATTTCTCGTAAAACCAGCTGTAATAGCAAATAAAAAACCCCGAAAAGCTAGAAACAAATTAAGTGCCCAATATGTGGAGAAGATATGAATAAATTAGGGCATTTCATTGAACCGGAATATTGTGTCATAATAGATAACAAATACAAAGAATTCAAAGAAACACAGACTACAAAAATTGCGAACAGAAAGCAGAACCAAAGGAATACACTGACATCTGTGTAAATTAAGTCATCACTGGAACATCAATCATAATAAACACACGAGAACTTTTTTACTACCTTCACAAAGTTAACATAGATACCACTTTTTTTTAAGAATACACACATATTTATGATCACTGTTTTCTTTTCACCTTTTGAATTTGGTTTTGTTGTTTATATTATGTTACTAATGATCTCTAAATAGCCAAATCTACTGGCCTTTTCTCAATCCTCATCCTTCTTGACCTCTCTGCAGCCTCTAACATGGTGGATCACCCTCTTCTCCTTGATACTCTCTTCTCTCTAGGATCTTGTGACACTGCCCTCTCCTAGAAGGATGGGGTAGTCAACAGTGTAAAATACTTCAAAAAGTAGAGGCAGAATGAAGAATGAGAAAGGCCTTTAGATTTCTCACCTGGGTCACTGGTTAGAGAGAATGGTATGGTGGTGACAGATTTCAGAAAGATGAAGATAGTAAGAAAGAAGCAGTGAGTACAGACTAGTTTTTGCTAGGTGTTGAGCAATAAAAGGATTCTAAGACAGATGGGTGGTCTGAGGCAGGGCAGCAAGTACAGGGGAACTTTATTTGTAGGATGGGGGAAACCTGAGCATGTTTAAGGGTAAAGGGAGAACAAAAGTGAGGATGATGAATGAAACAAGGTCCTTCAGAAAGTAGGAAGACAAGGGATTAAGAGTATAAGTATTAGGCATAAGTCTGGATAAGAAATGTAAATTGGTATGGCTGTTCTGGAAAGTAATTTGGAACTATTAGCCAAAATTTACTTTGCGTACCCCTGAACCCACTAGTATCACTAGTAGGACTACAACCCAAAGAAATCAAAGAAAGAGGGAAAAGATTTAACAAAAATATTTAGTCTCTTTTTTTTTGGAGGGGGGCAGGGCGTGGTGGTGGTTTGGAAGACCTAGAACTAAAGAGGGTGACTGTCAATTGGAGAATGGCTGAACAAATTATACTATGTGAATGTAGTGGAATCATATGGTGCTGTAAGGAAAAAAATGAAGAGGAGAAACCCGGGAAATCTGGTATGAACTGATGCTGAGTGAAGTGAGCACAACCAGGAGAATAATCTATACAATAATGACAACATTGCAAATGTAAACTTTGATAGACTTAATAACTGATAAATGCAATAACAACCATGATTTTAGAAGACCAATGATGAAAAATGTTTCCCACTTCCTGAAAGAAGGATGATGGACTTAAAATGCAGGAATTTGCTTGACTTTGTTACAAAGGGTGTGTTTTTCTTTCCTTTTTTCTGGGGGGGGGCAGAGTTGAGAGAGGGAGAAAGTAAATGCTCGTTAATTTAAAAAACATACAATTAGAAATTACATTAAATTTTTAAAAAACATGTAATTAGATGGGAGAGAACGAGGGAGAGATATGGAGCTCAGGACAGGTGGCTTTATTCTTCTCAGTAAAGTAGGAATTAAGGTCAACTGCTTATAGAAAGTCAATCACTGTGGAGCTGGAGGACTTGCAGAAACACGGAACAGCTGTAGTGATATGTGAGGCATCTAGCTAACCAGAAATGAACAATGACTGTCATACAATCACATAAGAGGACATAGCTGAAATTAGAGAGCTTGTTTTTGTATAAGATAAGTGTGACAGCAGACACAGTGCTGGACTTGGGAAAGACCCTGAAGCCTATCTAAGCTCTATCACTTGATCACTATAGGATCATAGACAAGTAACTACACTTCCCTGTGCCTCAGCTTAACCATCTGTAAAATATGGGCCACAGAATCATATATTTAGAATAGGAAGGGACCTTGGAGATCATGCAGTCTATAATTTTACAGTTTTGCAAACTGAGGCCCAAAGACAGTAAGAGATATGGTCAAGGTCACAGAGATACTAAGTGGTAGAGCCACATTTTGAATACAGGCCTATGGCTCTGCATCCAGGACTCTTTCCACTGAATATGCCACCCTGCCACTAACAGTACTGCTACTACTTACCTCACAAGGTTATTGTGAGGAAAGCACTTTGCAAACTCTAAAGTACTATTTGAATGTTAGTTGTTTCTTATAGGTGAACGAGTCAACACCAATCTGTAATGTCCTTCAGTGCTCAGCGACTCAGAGAGGAGAATGGAGAAGGAAAATAGCACAGGTTACCCAGGACATGGGATTAACAAGAATAGTGGAAGGAGAAGGACACAAGGGATTTCAGGAGTGGAGATGCCATGCTGCTGAAACTTCTGACTCATGGGTCAGGACTGTATAAAGATGAAGGTGTAGCCAGAACAAAGTTGACAGATTAAGAAAACAAGACTGAGGATCCTAAGGGCAAAATGAGAGAAAGAAGCAAGGTTTGGTGGTAGTGAGGTCATAAAAGGGCAAGAGATTTTGCTGAGAGGAGAATTTCATAACTCAAGATAATGGCAGTTGGTGACTCATGATAATGGTGAGGTCCAGGGTATGTCACTCCTAGGAATAGATGAGGTCCAGCTAAGGAGGGTAACACCAAGAGTGAGGAAGTGCAAGAATTCCAAAGCCAGAGCCAATAGTAAAGTCATCAACTTGAAGTCACTGAGAATGATGAGTTAAGGTAGAGAAAAAGGCAAGCCAAGTATTTAAGTCACTGAGGACAGAAGAGCATCCTGGAGAATGGTAGGTGGTAATGATAAGGATCAGGTATGGGTGACTTAATCACATGGAATAGACTTCAAAGGAAAAGCTGTTGAGTGATGGTGGCAGAGCAAGGGTCTACAAGTGGCAGTGAAATAAGGATCATAGGCTGTAGACTTAAAATAAGGATGTAACTTAGCAATCATCTATTCCAACCCCCTCTTTTGGGGGGACCAGTCAGGTAAAGTAACTTGCCAAAGGTCACAATGGTAATAAATGACAGAGTCATGATTCTAACCCAAGTCATCTCATTCTAATCCAGGGCAATGTTGAGTATGCTAGCTATCCTTCCTAGTCCCATGAGTTGTGAAAACATGAGAAAAGGAACGTTCAGCACTAGAGGATGTAATGGGAAGTGACATCTTCAGTGCAGCAAAGATAGAGTACTTCACTATAGTCAGGTTAAGATGGGTTTGAATTTCACTTCAGGTACTACTTACAAGCTATGTGACCCTAAGCAAATCACTTACCTCTCTGAGGTTCAATTTACTAATCTATAAACTGGAGATAATGATGGCACCTACCTCAAAGTGCTCTGTAAACCTTAAAGCACTACATAAATGTTAGTGACAACTTACTATCACTACCACCACCACCACCACCACCACCACCACCACCACTACTACTACTACTACAACTACAACTATTACAAGTAGATGAGGAAGAGATCAACAACGTATAGCAACATACAGCAAAAGCACAGCAATATTAGTGGTAGGAAATATTTCTAATAGAATCAGCTGTAACAGTAAACAAAAAAATCCCTCCCCGAACTAGAAACCAACAAAGTGCTTAAAATGTGGGAAACAGATGAGTAAATGATTGAATATCAATGAACTGGAATATTATGTCATAAGAGATAACAACTACAAAGAAAATTCAAAGAAATACAGAATTACATGAAATGAGTATAGGGAGGAAACAGCAGGTGAAAGATGGGATAGGGTTGGGGAAGCACAGAGCTGAGATGAGTAAGAAAAGAATAAGATGTGGTACGGAATGCAACATCACTAATATGAAAATATGTTTAATAGGAATGTATATGTATAGCCTATATCAGATTGCACACCATCTTAGGGAGAGAGGGAGGGGGAAGGGGGAGAAAAATTTAAAACTCAAAAGCTTATGGAAGTGATGGTTGATAAATCAAAATAAATTAACAAAAAAAGATGTAGTAGGGAAAAGGACTGTCTCCTTGACAAGTGGTAGTTCTCAACAACAGATTAGGGGCAGCAGAAAGAAAAATGTTAAACTAGTTTAACAAATTTAATTAAACTAAAAATGTTTACTAATAAATAAGGCAGCGGGAGAAATAGGAAGACAGAAGCTTGTAGGCTTGATTAATTCTAAGGTTCAAATAATAATGTTGGTGTAACAGCACCTATTAATTGGCTTCATTAAAGCGAGAAAGGACATACAGTATATGAGAGAGGAAGAGAGAAGATGAGTACATCAGTGTTTTGACAAATATTCTGGCCATAGAACACTTGGGGGCTTACGATACACTAACGGCTCACAAATGTTTGAAGATAGGTCTGGGGCTATGGTTTCTTTTCCTGCCAATTACTCAGATAAATTTATCTTTTTAGGTTTCTTTGGTCTCAGGTTTTTATCTTAAAGCTCCTACTCAGCTCTGGTCTTTTTGTCAAATATGCTTGAAAGTCTTATACTCTAACTAAAGGTCTATTTTTTCCCCTAGTAGGATTATACTCAGCCTTGCAGGATAAATTATTGATTGTAAGCCCCTATTTTTTGCCTCTCAGAATATTATATTCCAATATTGACTCTTGTTTACAGCAGAAGCTCGCTAGGTCTTGTGTGATGTTGTGATCAGATGAGATCATCTTTGTAAAAGGCACTAAGGCACAGTGCCTGGCACAGAGTGGGCACTATATAAATGCTTATTTCCTTCCCTTTCCTTCTCAGGCTGAGGTAATAAAAGGAGGCAAAGAATTAAGACTACCTTTATCCTTATGGAACCCTCACTGGGAACACCAACGCTCCTCGAAAACAGTTTGGAAATTACTGTGCTACATCATGCTGCCTTCACAAAGACATTCTTGGTTACCTTCCTTGTACCTGGAGTACTAAGTTACAACCATAAGAATCCAAATGGCAGGGTGTGTTGGCTCCCAGTGAGCCGATCCACAATGTGCTTTCTCTTCCATTTCTTCCAGGAAAACCAAAGTCAGACCATACCACATTCTGTTTTGGAAAAAAGAAGCTACAATCAATGAATCCATCAACTAATTATTTGACGAGTTGCATCACAGAAGTTAGCTCATTTGAAAGTCTGTTGTTTGGAACTCCAGAGGCACTGTCCCTTATAAATGAAGTTGGGCATGGTGGTCAAGTGGCTAGGTCAACCCACAGAAGCCTACTGAACCTATGAACTTTATAAAGTACTAAAATAACGAATTCCAACAAGCCAACAATAACCACTTGTCATTGTTCTGAAGGGAAACTGCATTTCAAAGTCCAACTCCAAAAGAAAGGAGCTAGTCTCCCCACTGCAGTACAGTCCCTCACACCTTCTCTCGAGGTATACAGGGGATACGTATATTTCTGGGTAAATCACTTCTCAGGCAAAGTCAAGCAATATGAATCTACACAGCGGCCATGTACAAAAATGTATCTTTTTTTTTGTACCTCATATCCATCACTTCTCTGTCCAGAGGTGGGTTAATGTGCTTTATAACAGGCCCTCTGGAAACATGTTGGGTCACTGCACTGATCAAAGTTCTTAAACTTTTCAAAACTTTTTCTTGGAAACTGTGATCACCACAATAACTAACCACAATTCCAAAGGACTCATGGTGAGACAAGCTACCCACCTGCAGACAGAAAGCTGATAGCCATAAATGTGCAGAACGAAGCCTATCTTCTTCTCTCTGTGATAATTCAGAAATTTGCTTTGCATGACTGCACATATTTATAATAAGTTTTGGTTTTCTTGCCTTCTCAATAGGTAAGGCAAGGGGGGAAAGGGCATTTGGAACTGAAAATAAAGTAACACTGATATTCTTGTATAAATTATGTTCTGCTGTCTTCAGTCTGTATCAATACTATTAACTTGGTTTTGTAAAACATTAAACACTTTAAACTACGGCATTTGAGAGGGAAGATACGTGAAGAAAGAGGGTAAACTGCTTGCAAAGGATTTTGACTTTTAATGAGTTTTTAAGGTTTTTAAATTTTTCTTAAGGTCAAGTTATTATCCAGATGAAAAGTAAGATAATGCCTTACCTGCAAAACATCTGTATTATCTTCAAATACACTGGCGAGATATTTGTAGTCAGCATAAGCCCAGAACTTGGAATTATCATAATGGCTAAACGGCCCAGCAACACTAACACTTTGGCCACAGCTCCAGACCAGAAATTCCTCAAGTGTGGCATCTACATAACTGCACATCGTTTCAAACTGAGGAACTGCAACATAAATGAAAACAATGCTAAATGTATACAGAATACCCATTCCAAGAAGAAAAATGGATGTTGATTCTGACAATTACAATTGTAGCTTTCCATGAATAAACTACTAACATAAGCTTCTTTATTAGAATAAAAGTAAAATGACAGCACAGCAGAATAGTCCATACCAAAACATTAACGATTAAGCACAAATTGCCATGTTTCGCTTTTTAATCCTTAAGATTCAAGATGGTAAACACACTGCATCTCAGTACCTGCATTTAGGACACACCGTATACTTCTATGTGCTATATCGCAAATGCAGACAAACACAGCTCCATCGAGTTGGGGATGATTCACTGAAAGATAATCAAAATGTTGAAGGAAATACAGTGGCTTCTGTACAAAACACACATTTTCGTCTGGAAAAATGAAGTCTCAGAAGGAATGTAATCCAAGTCTATTAAATTCTCATGTGATAGGATGAAATTAGACTTGTTTTTCTAATTCTAAAGTATTAGAACTTGGGGAAAAGGGATGAGGGGAGAGTTATCCTTGAATCTTAAGGAAAATAAAAGGGAAAACATGGTATTATTGGGAACAACACCATAAGAGGGAAAATTTAAGTGCCTGAGAGTATATGAGGAAACATACTTCTCTCCTGGAAGAGTGTTAGAAGGGACTATGGATACAGAAAGTTGCATGTGCTGTCAGATATGACCCTGTATTTACTTGTTTAGTAATTCTTGTTATTTATTATAAGGTGGTGGTAGGAGGGTATGTTCAAAAAAGATTGTGATATAAAAGCAAAAATATCAATAACATTTATTATTTAAAAACTAAGTCAAGAAGGACTGGGTTCAAATCCCAGCTGTTTGAAATTTAATAGATCAATTTACTTCTCTGGGACTTAATTTCCTACTGTGTAAGCGGGAAAGTTGGAGAAGATAATTTCTGAAGTCCATTGATATTTTATATTCTATGATCCTGTGACATTAATATCCCCAGAACTCACAGCCTACCATTTCAGAATTGGTGATAATATGACCTAGGTGGAAAATTTGCTTTTACTTAATCTATGAAGAAGTGGTCTTTAAAAATAAATTAATAGTTTAAAAGGAGCATGTTTAACCTACTTAGAACTTCAACACAATGAATGAAAATGGATGCTGTCCATACCAATGTGTCTTAAATATTCATTAGAGAAGGTCCTATGTAACCTTGTTAATAGTTCAAGGTATAAAACAGACTTCAAAGTAATAAGATTCCGTTTCTTTAAAATATTATTTAATTCAGACTGGCCTTCCCTCCATTTACTCTGATTCAGTGAGGTTTTTTGTTTTGTTGTTTTTTACAGTGGGTAGTAAACACATGGAAACGACATAAAAGCTATATAAGATCTATAACAAATCTCTAAAGAGGATCTACGGATGTTCTGCATGTACTTCTAACTTATTAAGGTGGTATCGTGGAGGGCATCTATTATATTCTCCTCTGTAAGAAGACAGAATATTGAGCTGGATAAACTGCTACTTGATCCAGTTTACTATTTTGATACTCTGTTAGATACTGTATTCTTCTGTGTTCTAAATAAATGTATGTCTGTCCCCATATTTATCCCTCCCTTATCCTGGTCTTTTGTTCTGAACCTTACTGCAATGCAGCAAGTGTTATACCATTTAACCCGTGGCAGCACACTGTAAATATTAATTGAAACTAATTTAAAACATTAACTCTGGAAGATCTTCCGAAAGAGAAAAGACATCTCCAGGGCAAGAGATAGTTTCCTTGCCTAGAAATGAATGAGATGACCAGAGGACATTATGATATCACAATCCATCTAACTTCATTATTTTTGCAAGGTGATAAATGGCTCTATAAGCAATCAAATAATTAAGTCCCTCCTTTTCCCCCCTTCCCCCACCCAAGCTCCAATACCTAGAAAAGACTATTTAATCATACTTATTCCTAGTCCCTTATCAACAGACTGGGGTTCTTATTTTGCTAAAGGATCCAATAAGGTTTATGCAAAATAAAGCTCTTATATAAACTTACAGAATGACTGGCTAATAACTCAAATAACACTGGATATGCACTGAGTATACCAAGCGCCTCTGACAAATAGTCCTGGTGTATGCCTATCATTGCCCTTAGTTTTTAGAGATGATCCCCCGACTGTGGATACATTTACGTGTAGTTCCAGGAAGAGAGACAAATGCCTAACAAGCAGTCTCTTTCACATCACCTGTACTCCACTCCTATGATATCCTGTTGTATGCCATGACATGTATGGACACAGCTGATAAATGCTATGTAGATGCTGGCTATTATTGTTGTTGTTATTATGATCATGATCTTTTCACATAAAGTGTTACACAGAAATGCTTCACTTTATACAACAGATTGTATACATGCTCGGGAAAAGCTGTGTGCACCCCCTGAAAATAAATGTGCCAGGGAAAGCTGATATTTATTTTGGACCAGAGCAGTGATTTCATGGGTGTAGGGAGCTCCCCATAAAGAGCCCCTTCGCCAATGCAGATCAGCACCTCTTTGCAATGTCTATGTTTACTGAGTTGCCTGAAGCACTTAAAGTCACATAAGTGACTTATCCAAAGTCATGAAGCCAGTGTATTGGAGGCTGGACTTGAATCCAGGTATTCTAGATTCCTGAGTACAGTTCTTGATCCGCTACTCCACACTGTCTCTTGAGAAGTTGATTTGTAAAGCATCAGACCACGGACCCTTCTACAAAAATAATCACCTTCTAATTTATCTTTTTGGGGAGTACAGCTTGTTGTTGAAGGCCTGGCCATAGAAAATGCTCATCTCTATAGTATTTTAAGGTTATAAAGCATTTTCCTCATTCTTTTTCTTTTATCAAGGTGGAAACTGGGGCTCAGAGAGAGTGAGCGACTTGCTCAAGAGTGACAGTCAGGAAGTCTCAGTTAGGTTTCAACTCCAGGGTCCCTTCTCTTTTACTTGGCTGCTGCTCCTCACTTGAGACTAACATTTCCTCAACTGTAAAAAATGGAGTGACTGGACTAGATGTTCTCTGAAGGTCCTTTCCAGTTCTAAATCTATAAATATGTTTACCTTCTTAAATTAACGAGGCATATTTGTAGAGAGAACAAAAAAAAAAACTGGCTGTTAGACATACTTCTAAATATTCTTCCTTATCTTTAATGAGATCCAATTAAGAATCTCCTTTTACATCATAAACATCTTCATTTTCAGTGAAAAAATGTCTATTCATTTAAACATTTGCTTAGGTATTCTTGTGGAGACCTTTCTAAGTTAAGCACACCCTAGAGCTAGTCCTCTCTAGGTCTGTTGTGCTGCTCAGGGCTTGGAAGGAGGCAGGCAGGGAGAAGCTCTTTTCTAAGGAAATTGTCCTGGAACAGTTCTCCCAAATTATTAAACCAGCCTTTCTATTTGCTTTTCCTTTTGCCCCTTTCCTATTCCCCAAAACACAACACAACAGAGAAACATGGCAGGGGGTTGAAGGTGGGGGGTGGGTGATGAGACAACGAGACATCTTAATTTCTGTTCTTGCTCACCTTAAGACTTGCTGCTCATGAAAAGCTCGTGAAAACTTTTATTTGCAAGGGTTAACTTTTGGATGTTATGAACTCCTTTGTCAGTCTGGTGAAGTCTAGAGATCCCTTCTCAGGATGTTTTTAAATTCATGAAATATAACACAGGATTATAAAGGAAACCAATTACATTGAAATTCAGTTATCAAACTATTTTAAAAAAATTTCAAGGACCCTAGGTTAAGAATCTTTGTACTAGAATAACCTTTATCCAGAAGGTACATATATCTCTGGTCATTTGAAAACAGCAACAAAAACAAACCATAAGTGGTAAAGTAGTTTAATAACACATTCCTTTTAAAAATACAGGTAGGAAAATGACTTATGTGTTGGGTAACCATTTCAATAAGCCTGGCAATATTAACAAATATTCACGTGTTTTCACTCCATAGAATTCAGCTCAAAAAAAAAAAAAGGCAAATGTCTCCTGTCTGCTTAAGATACATTATTTCCTCACGACTCGAGTAGTTCAAAGCACGTTTAAGTATTTATTCCTCCTAGAAACTCCCAGAGATAGTTCACTGACCAAAACACACACACACACACACACACGCAAGCCCCACATGATCAGCTTGAGACCAAGAGACACATACATGGCTGTTGTGTAGGATCACAGACCTGATTCCAATGGTTATTCACTGTTGTGTGGCAAATGTACAGAAATCTCTTTTTCCAAAGACTTTAAAACTGCTCTACCACTTTGACTGTTGATATTTCTTGACATTCACCTAGCTAACTGTCTCCTCAAAGAGAGAGGTACCCAAAGATAAGATTACAAAATGTTAAGGGAGGATGAAGATAAAATAACTACACTATTGATATTAATATAATAGTATAATTATCAATTAGCAGAACTGATAATTAGTATAATAGAATAATACTATTCATATCACTCAACACATTATATCTCAACACACAGGAATGTTTTACTTTTAACTCTTAACTGCTGTATCATAATAATTATGACCTTTTAATTAACTATTGATGTATTTTGATGTGGGGAATGCTATGTGAGGAAATGGACAACATCTGCTCAGGATGGGCAGGCATGGATGTAGGGAGCATGGAAATCAATGACATCACAGATCCATGGAGTGGTAAGAGGTCTATGCTGCCTTGACAGTTATCATTATAATGGTTTTGTGGTGAGAGGCCTTACCACCCCCCATTCCCACTCCATCTCTCATTCATTGAAGCCTTCACATAGATAGTAAATCCACCTGTACTACTACCTCATTTCCCAGAGTTTCAATATGACAGGTTCCTTGGTGCTTTTCCTTCCTTTTACTCACACTGGACACACTACCTAGCTCAACACTACCATACAAAGGAATGAATGATGTGATCAGAAACCTTGTAATTCAGCTACTTGTAAAGTGAATTCTTCCATTCTTTCTTTGTGACAGTTGTAACTGACATTTATTTTTCACTGTTCTGATTTTTCTATCATAACAATTTCAGAGTGCATGTTTTTAAAATTTTTTATTTTAGGCACATAAACTCTTTCCTTTCAAACTTTATCATTAATGTTCTGTCATTTTTCACTACGCAGTTCAGGCAGTCGCTACCTCTATCTAGCTGGCTGTCAAATTTGCTATTTAAGAGGAAATTCAGCTAAGTTTGGTATTTGGCAGCTTATAAATAAGCATGTTTCTGAGTCTGTGAAAAAAGCTTCTGGAAATCACTCTTCCAGTCAAAAACAGAATAGTCAAATACAATGAAAATAAAATATGGGCATGTTATAGTTTGGGGCTCTTTCTACAATGTTACAATTCAATACTGCATGCTGATCTTTGATAATTACCATTAAGTGCATCTACTAGGCTAAAGAAATTGACTCATAAATTGCCTAAGAGCATTTATGTATCAAGAATTAGCTATTTCCAGATTTAAAAGTCTATGATCTTACTTCCTAATTCAAGAATAAATGACTATTTCTACAAAAGTAACTTGAAATTTCTCATACAATAGCAGAGAATTTTAGGCATTTTAACCTAGACAGCATGAGTATGAACATTTAAACTATAGGAGATTAAATTCACATTAGTCTTTAAAATATCTAGAAACTCTTAACAAGTATAAATATATGCCTCAGTAATTTTTTTAAAAGGATGAGACAAATTTTATATTAATTCTTGTCTGATATTTAATTTAAAAATGATAAAGTTATAGCAATTAAGAGATACTACTTTTAACATAGCCAAATAATATGCCTAGAGGTAAGGCTGGGAGAGAAGTACTCACAGATAGAGAAATATAAGTGCTAAGATTAAAGAGTTCCAAAATAATAAAGGACTTTCTGGTGGTAATAAAGAGAAAAGTGTCAAACTCACCATTAGCAGCTGACAACTGACTATTTAGGGTAAGCACATGAGGTGCTTCATGTGCTCACATGCTCTTAATTTTTTTCCCTGGGCCCTGCAAAGAATCAAGTGAAAAGAAAAGGGAACAATAAACTATCCTGTTTCAACAACCAGAGATAGTGGAAAGATGCTAAGGTATATCAAATTTTGAATTATCCAAGAACAAATTATCTATAACCAACCAACATTTCCTGGGTGTCTATCTGTACATCACTGTGACAAATACTTTGAGGGAATATACAAAGTCTCAACGTCCAAGGAGTTTCCCACTTACTTTAGCTGACAAGAATAACACGTATAAAATGATGGCAAAAATTCTAGAATAGGTATAATATCACACCAAATTACGTGATACAAATGCCCTAAGAATTTAGAGCAGGAGAAGAGAATAAAAAGTGAGACAGCGGCGTGAAAGGACCCCTTCAAAGATGGTGTCGTGTTTCTATCTGAGCCAGAAAGAGGGAAAGAGATTCCAGGTAAGGATAACATAAAGAATGAAGACAATGCAATGTAAATGGTGTGTTTGTGGGACAGGGAGGAAACTAATCTGATGAGAGTGATATTTTTGAGGAATACTGGAAAAACACTGCTGAGAAACAGAGATAGACTTAAGGTTTAAAGTTTAAAAAAACTGTTATTACAGTAGGGGCATGTGAATGTCTACAAAAATAATCCAGGCACACCAGTGGAAGTGTGGATTTCGAAGCAAAAAATCATAGTTACTGACTGAGAGTATAAGACTAGATGAAAAGTCTTAAACTCACACTGAAAGTTACTTATCTATTTGTACTATTGTCTAAATCTTCACTTTTTTCTCCACAAAGACCTATTAATAGGATATTTGTCTAAACACAGGGTTGAATAATCTGCCTGGGGAGCTACAGTCAATGGAATCCACTTAACTTCTCCAAATTAGACAAGTCTAAGGTGCTTCTCTCAATTCTCATGTAGATTCAGAAGGGACCTCAATGGCTATCTAGACCAACTCTGCCTCTTCTTCCTCTTCACCCCCCAACTGCCCTTTCTACAACTGAGGAAACTGACACAGGGAGATTATATGACTTGCCCAAGGCCACACAGGAAGAAAGCATCACAGGTGGGATTTGAATGCAGGTCCTCTGTCTCCAGAGCCATTCCTTCCCCCCCAGCTGTCTCCTAAGCTACAAGTTTATGGAGAAAAGAAAACTTTGTTTAAGGTGTCATCTTAGTCTGTTTTAGGAAATAGTAAGTGTTGGCAAGAAAAGTTGGGCATTTTGGGGGTTGGGTTTATATCACATAGCTTCACATATTGCATATAAGTCCTAGAATATGAGAAATACTTTAATTAGTATAAAAAGGCATTACAAAGTCAAGTAAAAACGAATCAGAAGTTCACCACTGCTTTGAGTAATGAGTACCACTACTAACATCCATAATCCCTCATACTGAAAGTTAATAAGGGAAAAAAAAAAGAAAAGTTTAAAAGATATTTATGGATGAAGAGTAAATAGCCAAAGCTTGGCTCTTTAAAGGGATTATGGACACAATCAATCAACAAATATTTTTTATATGTTTACTAAGTACCTTGCCCTGTGCTAAACTGGGATGCAAAGATAAAACTTTGACTTTAACACACACACACACACACACACACACACACACACACACACACACACACAGAGAATCCCCAAAAATCTTGGTGTCACTTTAAGCATTATTAACTTCAGAGATATTGTTACAAACTTATCCTAAAAAAAATTTGGAAATTAAATTATTTAAAATTCTCTCACAAGTAGTTTTGTGAATTCTGAACAATAATTTTAAATTTTTTAACAAGATAAGTCTCTTTGTCATCGTGCACTACAGCTGTCAGTTTCTGGAATACAATTTTTGAAACCAGTGGATTGGTGGAGGAGGTCCATGTGCTTGGCCACCTAGTCACATGATCTATTTTTCACTAGACCTTTTCTTGAGAAGGTCTCCAAAAACTATTATGTATGCTTCAAAATCTTATTCTCTCAATAATCTTAAGACTAGATTTACAAACACAATCCTTTCAGTCACTGAACAGCAGCTAATGAAATTTTTCACAAAGTTCAAAAACTGACTAATTTAAACCACAAGATGGTAGGTATGTTGAATTTCAGTAAAAAAAAAATCAATATTTTGAAATTTTAAATAATTAACCTTTCAAATGTTGTTATTTTTAAGTTTGTAGAATCTCAAGTTATTTAAGCTTAAAAGTGAACTATTTTTGGGAAACCCTCTAAGTACAGACATTTTATTGCATATTACATATATACTCATGAATATGTAAACATGTGTAAATATAAGAGAAAGTAGTTTTGGGAGTCATGCAATAAGCTAAAATCTGAGGACACTAAGGCAAAAAAACAATGCCTCCTCTCCAGGAGTTCACAGTCTAATAAGAGAGACAACATGCCAACATCTCTGTACAAACAGGATATATTCAGGGTAAGATGGACCTCAGAAAGAAGGCACTAGAATTGAGGGGGGCTTTCTGGCAGAAGATGGCTCTCCAGCTGAGACTGAAGGGAAGCCAGGCAGCAGACATGAGGGGAGAGTTCCAGACAGATGGGACAACTTGTGAAAGTGCCAGGGGTAAGAAGATGGAATGTCACATGCAAGGAAAAGTAAGAAGGCCATTGTCCATGGATCCCAGAATACATATGTAAGTGTAAAATATGTATTATATATTTTCTGTGTGTCACTGGCGGAGTTTTTGAATAATGTGTCCAAACCCCAGTTTTCCCACAAACCTTGTGTTTTTTTATGGTGCTTTCTGGGAATACACATATTGTGTTATATAGTAGAATTGACTTTTTGTCACTAAGAAAGGAATTCAGGTGAGTTACTGTCTATATAGGGTTTGTCTTGGGATGTGAGGCAGCAGTGTGCAGCTGGAAATCAGGGAAGAGCAAGGCAACTGTGGAACTATAGGTGCCTGGAAGAGGTTCTGGGACTGGATGGAATGGATCCTCAGGAAGGTGGCATCGGGGTAGCACCTTAAGGGCTGCAATGAACTTCATAATTATTAATTCATTTGATCCTCACAACAACCATGGGAGGTAGAAGCTATTAATTTTATCCCCATTTGGCGGATAGGGAAAGTGAAATAATCAGAGGCTAAGTGACTTGCTCGGGTCACACACCTAAAGGCTGCATTTGAACTCACTTCTTCCTAACTCAAGCCCAGAACTCTATCTGCTACACCAAAAGGCTGTAGGAAGTCCTCCAGGGCAAGGAAGCAAAATGACTGCTGTGCAGTGTAGGTGGCCAGAAAGAGGGAAGGAGAGCAGTATCCTGCCAGGAGAACCAAGAAAGGCTTCAAGCAGCAGGTGTGTTTTACCACAGTCTTGAAGAAAAACAGGGATTCCAAGAGTTGTATATGAGAGACAGCTAATTAAATGCTTCGATGTTTTATTACAAACAAGTACATGTCATGTTTTTCCCTTCAGGCAAAGAGGGAAGAATCACATCCAAGGTCAGGTACTGTATACAGAATGACACAACAGTCTATCTAGAAGATTCTTTAGACAGTGAATCCACAGCTGAAAGAACAATCTAGATTCTATGACTTAAAACTGCAAAGAACCTCAGAAACCATCTAGTCCAATCTCTTCTTTTTACCTATGGGGAAATTGCGGCTGAGAAAAATGAGGTGACTTTCCTGAACTCACTTATGCAGAATGCATCAAAGAAAAATTTACCGAATGCATGAAATGCATAAACTTTTTGTACTATTATAGTAGTATCTTCAGGAACATCTTTTAAATAAAACACAGCAATACATGTGTATAAAACATGTACAAGTGTTTTTATAAAGAATTACATTGGCTTACTCAAGGAAATACGTGTTGGTTATAAAAAAAAAAAAATGTATAGCAGCTAACATTTTAACCAAAACCTCCAATAAACTTCTTATCTCTGTAATACAAAAGGACAAACAGAAGAAAAGAGGTTAATATTTCTCTAGAAACATGAAAACCACTGCTGAGAAAGTAGAAATGGCATTGAAGTGTCATTATAAATATTTTATCTACTTGGAGTCCTACCTGTATCCGTTTTTTTCATTCCCATTCTAAATCGTATCTGTTTTCCACACAAGAGCTTGGAAAGACATTTGGCATTCCAGTGTTGGGCTGGCCAATCAAAAACCATGTTGCAGAAGACTGCCGGTTGTTGCAAAGACATTATAATTTCTTTTGCTTTCTCTGGAGTAAAAGGTTTCACAAGTTCACCTAGAGAAACAAATGGCTTTAGGTTAATAAATGTGTAAAACTATCATTTTCTAAAAGTTGGAAAAGGAAAATTAAGTGATAACATTTCAGACTACTATGAATTTTCCTACTGAACTGCAACTATATGACACACTAACATACAGATGGTGGAGCTGTCCTGCTATTCTGGAAAGCAATTTGTAATTATGCTAAAAAAATGACCAAAAGGTCCATACCCTCTCATCTAGAGGTCCCAGGTCGGTCATCTACACCTTAGGGACACCAAAAACAGAAGGGATAAATCCTTTACATATCAAAGTATTCATAAGAGCCCTTTCCGTGATATCAAAGAACTGGAAAAATAAGTATACATCTCCTGGGGAATGGTTAAAAAAATTGTGGTACAAACATGTACTGGAACACTACTACACTTGTAAAAAATGATGAATGTGAAGAATGAAGAAAAGCATGGGAAGACTGATATGAACTGATGCTCAGTAAAGTTAGTCAACAAGCATTTATTAAATGTACTATGTTACATTGTGCTAAGTGCTGGGGATATGAAGAAAGGTAATGGTCCCTGTGCTCAAGGAACTCATACTCTAATTAATAGGAAAGACAACATGCAAATAATTAGCAAGAAGAACCAGGAAAACAAACATGGCTACAATGATGTAAACAGAAAGAATAAAATTAAATGAATGCTGTGTGATTACAATGACAAAAATAGGTTCTGGAGAAGAGTTGAAAAAATGCAGAGGTGGTGGGACTTCAGGTGAGGCATCCTGAACACTGTCAGACTGGTTGATGGGCTAATTGCTTTTGCTGAATCTCTCCCCTGAAACCTCCTTTTAAAATCTTTCTTAAACACACATTCCTATTAAAAACACTGGAGAACACAGGAATAAATGTAGTCTTCCTTAAAACAATAAATAGCATCTACCTAAAACCTTCAGCAAGCATCATATATAATGGGGACAAGTTATAAGCATTTCCGATAAGATCCGGGTGAAACAAGGATGTCCATTATCACCACTGTTGTTCAATATTGTCCTGGAAACGTTAGCTTTTGAAATAAGAGAAGAAAAAGAAACTGAAGGTATTAGAATAGGCAAAGAAGAAACAAAGCTATCACTCTTTGCAGACGAAATGGTATACATAGAGAACCCTAGAGAATCAAGTAAAAAACTACTTGAAATAATAAACAACTTTAGCAAAGTTGCAGGCCATAAAATAAATCCACATAAATCATCGCCATTTCTATATATTACCAACAAAGCCCAACAGCAACAGATAGAAAGAGAAATTCCATTTAAAGTTACTGTAGACATTATAAAATATTCAGGAGTCTACCTACTGAAATAAACCCAGGAACTATGTGAACACAGTTACAAAACACTTTTCACACAAATAAAGTCTTGGAAAAACAACAGTTGCTCATGGGAAGCCCAAGCTAATATAACAAAAATGACAATTCTACCTAAGCTAGTGTACTTATTCAGTGCCACACCAATCAAGCTACCAAAAAATTATTTTATAGAGTTAGAAAAAATAATAACAAGATTCATTTGGAATAACAAAAGGTCCAGAATATCAAGGGAACTAATGAAAAGAAATGCTAAGGAAGGTGGCCCAGCCATACCAGATCTTAAATTGTATTATAAAGCAGCAATCATCAAAACTGCTTGGTACTGGCTAAGAAATAGAGAGGTGGATCAGTGGAATAGGTTAAGTATGCAAGACACAGTAGTCAATGACTATAGTAATCTATTATTTGATAAACCCAAAACCCCAGCTTCTGGGATAAGAACTCACTGCTTGACAAAAACTTCTGGGAAAACTGGAAAAGAGTATGGCAGAAACTAGGCATAGACCAAAACAAAGTCAAAGTGGGCTCATGATTTAGATATACAGGCTGATACTGTAAGCAAACTGGGAGAGCAAGGAATAGTTTATCTTTCAGATTTATGGCAAAGAGAAGAATGCATGACCAAACAGGAGATAGAGAACATTACAAAATGCAAAATGGATAACTACTGATTACATTAAATTGAAAAGGTTTTGCACAAACAAAGCCAATGCAACCAAAATTAGAAGGAAAGTGGAAACTGGGAAAGAATTTTTACAACCAGGCTCTCTGATAAGGGCCTCACTCCAAAAATATATAGAGAATTAAGTCAAATTTTTAAGAATACAAGTCATTCCCCAATTAATAAATGGTCAAAGGATATGAACAGGCAGTTCTCAGATGAAGAAATTAAAGCCATCTATAGTCATATAAAAAAATGCTCTAAATCATTATTGATTAGATAAATGCAAATCAAAACAACTCTGAGGTACCACATCACACCTATCAGATTGGCCAACATGACAAAACATGACAAAAACAAAACAGGATAATGATAAATGTTAGAGAAGATATGGGAAAATTGGAACACTAATGCATTGTTGGTGGAGTTGTGAAATGATCCAACCATTTGGAAAGCAATTTGGAACTATGCCCAAAGGGCTATAAAAATATGCATAGCCTTTGACCCAGCAATAGCACTTCTAGGGCTGTATTCCAAAGAGATCATAAAAATGGGAAAAGGACCGACATATATAAAAATATTCAAAGCAGCTCTTTTCGTGGTGGCAAAGAATTGGAAATTGAGAGGATGCCCATCAAGTGGGGAATGGCTGAACAAGTTGTGGTATATGAATGTAATGGAATACTATTGTGCTATAAGAAATGAACAGGCGGACTTCAGTAAAACCTGGAAAGGTTTGCGTGGACTGATGCTGAGAGAAATGATCAGAATCAGGAGAACGCTGGACACAGTAACAGCCACACTGTGTGACGACTAATTCTGATAGACTTAACCCTTCTCAGCAACACAAGAATCTAAGATGTCTCCAAAGGCCTCATGATGGAAAATGCTATCCGCATCCAAAGAAAAAAATATGGAGTTTGAATGCAGATCGAAGCATATTATTTGCTATTTTTTTCTTCTGTTGTGTTTTGTTTCCTCTTATTGGTTTTAATTCTTATTTACAACATTACTAATGTGAAAATATGTTTAATAGGAATGTATATGTATTAGCCTATATCAGATTGCGTGCCATCTTCGAGAGGGAGGCGGGGAGGGAGAGGGAGAAAAATTTAAAACTCAAAAGCTTATGGAAGTGATTGTTGATAAATGAAAATAAATTAATTTTTAAATAACTCTTTCTTAGAAGTTATGGCTCATTGGGTAAGGAATTGGGTAGGACACATTTATAAAGGAATATGATGTAAAAACTAGGCTACCAATAAAAATTAGATTTCAAATAGAATTGTAATTTGCTTTATTCTTTTATTACTCTACACAAAATGTTGGTAGGTTCCCAAAGAACCTAGAGGGATACTTAAATATCTGTTGAACTGCTTTTTTTCTTCCATATTAAAGACTTTTAAGTTTGGCAAGTACTTATGATTTTCAATATACTAACTATATCTTAGATTCCATTATACAAATAAAAGCCTTTAACATCATTACAATTTTTCTAAATTGGAGAAAGTAAAAATTTTGTGGTTAGTGATCTTAAATATGTAAGTATTTAAGTAGTACAAATGGAAATCTACACTTTATATCTGCTGTTCTTCGTAGTTTTAACCCCACAGAACAAGATGACACTCTCATCATAATCTCATCTCTAAACTCACCACCACATGGATAACTGAAGTTTTGATTGACATCACCTCCCCTCAGCCTCCTCTACCCTCAGATTGATGAGTTGGAGGATGGAGTACCAAACTCCTTCCAATGCCTTCCTTTACAGAGGGTAGAAACAGGACTCAGCTCACTCCACTTTGCATCTGCTACTCTGCCTGGTTTCAAATCTATGGAACAAGGGTGTCTCCTCCACTCCCCTATCTGCACTCCTCCTTTCCTGCCTCCCTTTTTGTGCTGTCTCCCCCCCCCCTTCAGACTGTAATTTGCTTGACAACAGGGACTGTCTTTCTTTTCATTAATTGTATGTCCAGTGTTCAGCACAGTGCTTGGCACACTGCAGGTGTTTAATAAATGTTTATTGAATTGGATAGGAAATTACCTTATAACAATGCAGGCTGGTGATCATGTGAAAAAAAGCACTAGGTTTGGAGTTAAGAAGACCAATTCAAATACTCTTCAGAAACTTACTGTGACTCTAGGTAAACGGCTTAACTACTCTCAGCCTCAGTTTCCTTACCTGTAAAATAAGAAGGCTGGACTCGATGACTTACAAGTTTTCTTCTAGAAAGCAGTCTGGAATCATTCAAACAAAGTGACTAAAATGTCTGTACCCTTTGACCCATATATTCCATTAGTGGGCTTGTACCCCAAGGAAGCCATAAGAAGAGAATCTCCATAAACACCAAAATATTTATAGCAGCTAGCTCTTTCTGTGACAGCAAAGAATTAGAAACAAAATAAATGCCCATTAACTGGGGAATGGCTGAGCAAGTTGTAGTACATGAATGTAATAGAATACTATCGTGCTATAAGAAATGATAAACAGGCTGACTTCAGAAAAACCTGGAAAGACTTATCTGGTCTGATGCTCAGCGAAGTGAGCAGAACCAAGAGGACTTTGTACACAATAACAGCCACATTATGCGATGACTAATATTGTTAAACTGAACCCTTCTCAGCATTATGAGGATCTAAGACATCTCCAGAGGCCTCGGGATGGAAAATGCTGTCCACATCCAAAGAAAGAACTATTTTTACCTTCTGTTGAGTTTTGTTTCATCTTTCTGATGGTTTCTCCTATTGGTTTCAATTTTTACTTACAACTTCACTAATGTGAAAATATGTTTAATGGGTATGTAAATGTAAAGCCTATATCAGATTGTGCACCATCTTGGGGAGGGTAGGGGGGAGGAAGGGGAAGAAAAATTTTCAACTCAAAAGCATATGGAAGTGACTGCTGATAAATCAAAATAAATTAATAAAATTTTAAAAAAACCCGATATGTGATAAATACAAAGTGCCAAGAAAACAACATACACAATTACT